TTTTTTTTTTTAACTCTACTTGCGCACGATGTTTCTCCACTTATTTACAAATATTATTTAGTCTCTCTTTTTTCCTTCATCCCTTCCCGCTTGTTCTTTTTTTTTCTTTTTTTTTTTTTTTTTTGTTTCCCCCTCTCCAATGTATACTCTCTACCATAATTCACGTACAAATATCCCTCACAAGATACTTTTCTTTTTCTTTTTCATTCGTTCATTCATTCCAAACTCAACCCCTTTTTTCTTCCTACTATCACTATTATACTTTCATCAATCAGTACCAAAATGAAGAGAAGCAGTAAGCGGCACGAGGATAAGGAATTAGAAAAAGGAAAAGAATAAACATATATATATATCCTATTTGTTTCTTTTAATTTCTTATTTCCCTCTTTATCGCTTCTTCTTCCGTTTGTCCAATTCCGTTTTCAATTCATCACGCTTTGCCTGCAACTCATCAAATTTACGTCGCAGTTCATCCCGTTGACGTCGCAGTTCCACCGCATCTTCTTCATCCTTCTGTATTTTTGAACGCCAATTCGGCTGTTTACTTTCCCGTATTTTTGTTTCCATCATTTCTGCCTTTTTGTTCAATTCCTCTGCCTCGTTACGTGAGTTATCCACTCGCCGTTGGGCTTCTCGTTGTTTTCCGTTTATATCCGCAAGTGCCTTCTGCACTGATTCATCCGATTCCACTTCTTTTATTAATGTATTGTATTGTTCGGATACCTCTTCGAATTCTTGATTAAAGTTTTCATTCGCACTTTCCTTCTCTGCCACTTGTATGCGAAGGTCTTCCTCACGATGACGTTCCTTTTCCAATCGTTTCTGCAATTTAGCTTCATCTTGTGCAGATCGTTCTCTCCTTTTTTCAGCCTCTGCCATTGTATTCTGCTGGGCGGCGAGTTGTCTCTTCAGTTTATCATATTGATCTGAAAGCATACGTATTTTCTTAACTGCCACCTGACGTTGTAATGCCCGAAGTACTGTAAACGCATATCGTTCAGATTCTATTTTCTTTACTAATTCCTTATTCTTTCCTGTTTGCTTGGTCATATTGCGTGATTCCACCTCCAATCGTTCGGCTAACTCTTGTTTTTGCCGCAGTGTCTCCCGCAGGGAATCCATATTTTGACGTTGAATACGAACAGCATTTTGAAGTTCACCGGCTTTATTAGACATTCCCCCAGTGACGGTGGTCTGTGCATCATTTACCTTTACCAGTGTAACGAGATTACGGGCTTTACTACTCCACTGCAGGGTGGCCAGTGTATCTCCATAGTTCTTCACAAGAGGACTAAGTGTGGCCACCATCGTTGTGCGTGCATTACCGCCAATACTGTCACTGAGAAGCCATGTGAGCACACTATCGCGGAATGGCACTTGTGGTAGTGGACGATCTTGATAATAAGTACCGGTAATCACGGCCTTTGCCTGTTCCATCAGAATATTTTGCCGTTCCGTCAGATTATCAATCACACGACGGAGTGCTAACAGAGAAGTGTTAATGGCTGCGGATTCCTTTACATACTCTTGAAATCCACCCCGTTCAGATCCAGCAAGATCCACAAGATTAATACGACCTGCCTGACAACGTACAACAGGACGGGAGTAACGATCTTTGGCGGGAATTGTCAATTCTTGAATCACTGTGAGTTGAAAGATTGCATGACTGCGACTGGATTGATTATGTATAGCGGTTGCACATGTTGTGCGATGCCGTGAGCCGCGCTCGAGCAAAAGACAACATTGTGCCCAATTCTCTACTTGATACTTCGTAACCCCCTCCACAAAGGGACCACTGTAGGGATCTTGACGAATACGGGCATCTTGCAGTTTCTCATTACCCTTGGTATTACGCAGGGCAGGATCCAGCAAGTCCCGTACACGCTCCATGTATATTTCTACAAAACTCACCTCAACACGAAAGCGGACACGCTCATGTGGTTCCTTCTTTAACTCTTCCTTTTGTTTTTCACCGAGAATGAGGAAGAGGTCATTAGAGACACGTGGAATAATACCCTCTTCACCATCTCCACCACAGGAGGCATTAGGATCATATAAACCCATCATGGTGTAAGTCTTACCACTGCCGGTTTGCCCATATGTAAGGATACAGCTATTAAACCCATCAAAAACATGTGGCACAAGTTCCTTTGCGATAATTTCGTAAACATCTTTTTGAGTTGCATACGTACTGCGTTTGGTGTCTTGAAAGGTATGAACAATGCGGTGCTCTGGTGGGATGGACCAGAGACTTCCATCAAATTCAAACTGTGCCTTTGGTGTCCAGTCATCCTTTGGATCAAGAATAACAGTTTTATTATCTGTCATCTCTACAATGGAACGACGTTCTTGTCCTTCCATGTCGGCAAGTTCTTCAGCAATGAAGGGCCGCACACGGGAATAAACTTTAAAGCGTGTAATTTCCGTTACACGTGCACGAAATGCTGCGGAGGACTCATGCGCGTCATCCATGACGGTGTTGGTGGTTCCATTGGCGTGAATATCAGGAGAGTGAAGAGATTCGGAACGGCGTTTTATTGGAGTTGTGGGATTCTGCGTTCGCTTCTTTGGGGTTGCCGGCTTCTTACGAGCAGGGCCAGATATTATCTTGGGTTCGTTGACCGTCATTTATCTTTCTCAGCTGTACAGTTTGATGTTGTTTTTGTTGATGATGATTTTCTTTCTTTCTTTCTCTTTTATATTTCTCTTCCTTCGATTTCTTTCGTTGTTGTTGTTGTTTTCTTTTTATTTGTGTTGTTCTTTATTTCTGTATTTCAGCAGAATAATTTCTTTTCTCTCTTGTCATGATTAAAGCAATGAAAGGGGGGAAAAAACGGGAGAGGGGAAAAATATGATAAGACTATTAACAAGACATATTCATTAAGAAGAATACGGTAAAAAAAAGAAAGTAAAGATAAACTATTTCAATTTGATTTTTCTTTCTTTTTTTTTTTCGTTCTTCCTTTACAGACACACACCCCATCAATCTGTTTCTAACATATCGCTGAATTTCCTTTTTTTTTTTTTTCTTCTCCCCATTTGGACATCAGCTACTCAACTAACTGTACATGATGCTTGATTTCCAACCCCTTTCTTCTTCTTATTCTTCTCCCTTTTCTTCTTTTTCTTCTTCATCATCATCATAATCATAACAATTATAATCCAAAACAAAAAAAAAAACTATTTCCTCCTCTTTGGTTGTATCACTTCCACTGTAAAGTCAATATCAATCTCATCTGCAGCTTGAATAACACGCACATCATCTGCACGCATATTCTCAACAGTGTCAAGTAGAGACAATCCACATGCCGCCTCCACACTAGAGCGAGAACTATCCCAAGTAGCACATATACGATCGATAGCATCACCAACTAGACGTCTCATACCCAAGAAGAAACGTGTATTGTATTCTTCTTTAATAGCTGTATCTACAGAGATATCACCACCACCCAATGATTCCGCAAAAGCCATCAGTTCCTCCACAATTGCTTCTCTAGCAGAAACAGAAGCACCAAAACCAGCGGTACTATCATGAGGAACAGTACCTTTTCCTCTACCTGAGACTTTACCAGAAGCTTTTCCCACAGAGTTAGCAGAGCTAATACCTTTACGTCCTCCTGTAGGAGCATTGATACTTGCAGAGGCCCCACTCATAGCACCAGGAGTAGCCGTCATCATACCAGCAGAACCCAAAGAACGACTAATCTGCAATGCAGGTGCGGTTTGGGCACTTCGTGGTGAACGCAGTCCAAGAGAAAATGCAATCGTATCATCTAATTCACATGTACGCTGTGCTAATATAGTGAAGGCTGTCGTTCCGGCAACGCGTTGCAGTAAAAGATCAAGTGGTTCCGTCTCTTGCTCACTCACACTCGCTGCCTGTAGTAATACGTTAAGAGCTTCACGTAGTATATTACGTGAAGGGGCATCACGTAAAATACATAAATCGGCCTGTAGTGTTTGTACAGATCCATCCCATTCTTTATGATGTAATGGTTGTCCAAGGGAGTCCATGGTACGTGCGAGGTTTGAATGTAAAGCATCCAATCGTGCATACACATCACAATTAAATGGAATACGTAGAGATGTATAAGTGAATTCATTCCATGCCTCACGCCATTTGGATGTTAATGCCTCCCGTGCGACTTCTGGTGCTCGTGCCAAAGTGATTTGCTCTTGTGTTGCCTTTTCAATTTCAACAGCTTCATACACATCATCATTTGCCACCAATTCATTTATAATGGCCCGTTGGGTATCAACAACGGCCTTTGAACCAATTGCATTTGCAATCGGGCGTGAGATAGCCTCTAGTGATGGTCCACCATCTTGTACAATAGCGCAGAGCTCCACAATAATGCGGGAAGAGAGAACAGGAATCACAAGAAACTCATAGTGCTGCGTAAAACGTCCTGGAAAAGGTGCTCTAACAGAGAAAGGAAATATTTCCTCATCTCCTGGGAGGATAACACCATCAAATGGAGTTGAAAGACAGAAAAAGGATTTGGACTGTGCAGATTTTTGAGCCAGCGAGCGTAGTGGAACTCTCTGTTGCTCTGTTACTGCCTTGTTCTTCTTCTTCTTTTTATTCTTCTTCTTTTGTTGTTGTTGTTCTTCTTCTCGTTGTGGTTGTTGTCCATTCTCTCCCACTTTCTCTAGATGATTCTGGGGATTACCATTTACGTTTTTGTGGGAATCTTCCACTTCTTCCTTTTCATCACTTTGAAAGGGACTTTCATACTTCCCAGCGCCCTCATCATCATCTTCTTCCTCTTCCTCTTCTTCTTCAGTATCTTTATCTTTATCATCCGCATCCTCAGCCGCAAGATCACCGTCTAGGGCGGTAATAGGTTGATGTGCTTCCCAAGTGTAGTACACTGTCATCATACCATTGTTTTTTATTTTTACAAATCCATGCGCTAGTTCACCGGGACTCGCAAAGAAAAGAAGACGTGTGGAAGATATCTCCAAAATAAGTTCTCCTGGAGGTTCTTGATCAGAAGATGCTGCGACATCCATGCTCACTGCCCGCATAGCTGGATCTCCCATACTTGGAAGACGACTCTTTACCTTTTCTTGTTGTTGTTTCTGTGTTGCCAAAGCTGTTTTCGTCTGGTTTAGAGAAGTTGTAGTTGGTGAAGTTTTTGTAGGTGGAGGAGGGATATGCACTACAGCAGGTGCTGCCTTCTTTGCCGCTTTTGCATCTTCCACATTTGTAGTCCACACAGGAGGTTTACCACAAACTTCCAAGTAGGCTCGTGGTAAGAAAAAATGGGACATTCGCTCCTCAATAATTGGTAGATATCGCTTCATCTTTTCCTCATAGTAATTCCCAGCACTAAAGGAAACGGGTTTCACATTCGCAAGAGCCTCTTGAGAGTGTTTGCGTGTAGCAGCAAAAGTCGAAACTTCATCTCCATCCTCATTCTCATCATCATCTTCATCCACATTAGTAGTAGTAGTAGTAGTAGTAGAAGCAATAGTAGTTGTAGTAGTTGTTGTTGTTGTACCAAAATGAGCACCACCACCACCAGCAGCAGTAGTAGTAGTAACAGTAGTAGTAGGAGTATTAGAATCTTTTGGGAGTTGTTCATGTTGAAATACAATGCGAGTGTTTTGAAGATGATCCGGATCCACTCGTGCTCTATCGGTTACTTTAACATACAATGGATATGGAAAATTGGACCTTCCAAACTTGAGATAACGAAGAGCGGCTCCATCTTCAGAAGCACGGAGTGTACTTTCCCATGTATATACACCTGAGAAGATACTCGATGGTACGGCGTTACCAACCAACGCGAGTTCCTCTTCACGTAAACGAGTTTGATAAACTCCCTCTCCCATATTCATATAAGCCCCTCGGGCCTTACCGTTCCTGTTAACACGTCGCTGGATGTTTGCCTCTACATTACTCCATACACGTTTTTGTTTTTCCCAATTACGCATGGCTTTCCCTTGTAGATCACGCTGATCATAAGGATTGGGATTGGGAGTGGAAGCCCTTTGTGAAGAAACCCCAGGGCGTGTTGGTAAAGGCACAGATTGTGATAATGCTGCCATTTTCCCCTTTTATCCTTCTTTTGGAGGTGGTGCTACTATTCCTTTACAAATATGAGGAAATATATATATATATATATATATATATATATATATACATAAAGAGAGAGAGAGAGAGAGAGAGAGAGAGAAGGTTAACATGAGATTATCCAAGAGGATATTTTTAAGAACTGGAGGATAACATCTTCAATAGGAATTCACGAAAACATAAATATAAATACACTGGAGGAAGGGATTAAGAATAACAAAAAACAAAAAAAAAAGCAAAAGCAAAGTCCACACCCACAAACAATGGACCAAAAGTCACGCACATTCAAGATGTGTGAAGAACACAACATCACTTTTCTTGAGAAACACGATTACAGCAAAGAGAATAAAAAAAAAAGGGGGGGGGATGGATATTAGAAGTACACATGAACCCCAAAACAGAGAGAAAGAAAGAAAGAAAGAAATAGATAGAAAGAACACATGTAGGTACATGATGAATTGATGCCGTAAAATGACACATCAAACATAACTTGATCTATTTGTTATTTATTTTTTCTTTTTATTCTTTTTATTCTTTCTCTCTCTTTCTCTCTCTATCTGTGCTGTTCCCAACCCATCCCACCTTCCACCGCATTGCCAACACAGTGCCCCACCGCCTCGTAGATCTCCAAAATATTCCCCGAGTGAATGGCCCGTTCTTTATCGGCGATAATTTGAAGTACCGGCCTTGACCTCGCCATGTGATGTTGAATAAAGCGAAGAAACATATGAATTTTTGGATAAACATGCATGTAGAGATCATTTAATAAACACCGACGCAGCACCGCCTTTGTCGGACACACCTGAAGACAGCGAGAAAGATATTTTGTGTGTTCCTCCACGGCCTCTGCTGCCTCTTCTAATTCCGCAACAATACTATCATAGGAGATGTAAAAGAGAAGAATATCTGAGCGTTGGATATCTTCAATACTCCATCGTCGTGAGAAGTCTACTTTTTCCGGCAACGCCCATGGATTTGGGGTTTTACCTTGACGCCCACTACGAACAGAACCCGAACCAACACCCGCAAAGAGTGAGGCTGATGATGCTGAGTGCGATCTTGTTGCTGTTGTTGTTGTTGTTGTTGTGTGTCGATCTTGTTTCTTAAAGCTATGTTTATAGTGATGAGCCAGTCGAAGTATCACACGAATGCTGTCAAGATAAAAACTTCCACCCATGTGTTCCGCTCGCAGCACAACACCCCGTTGAGTGGATGGTGATGGTCCGGCACTACAACTAGCCGTAACGGAAGAAGTATTTGCATAACAATTATTATTATTATTATTATTATTATTATTATTATTATTATGATAGTATCTATTTCCCACACTACCAGGTAATGATAATGATGGTGGCATACGAAGTAAAGCAGAGGGACCTGCCGCCATTATTCCCAACTGTTGTTGTTGTTGTTGTTGTTGTTGGATCAATGGTACTGCTGCTGCTCCTTGCGCATTACCGCGGAACAGGCGTGTTAGTGAGTGCAGCAAGAAACTATGCCATTCTTCACTAGTTTCTAGTGAACGGACCCGCTCTCTCTTATTATCCAGTGGTTGCTTCCCCGTCTCTGTCATTATATAATCATTATAAATTCCATTCTCCTTCCTTTTCTTCTTTATCATCACAAATTCCTCTTCATGCTCATCATCATCATAATCATCATCATCTATCACATTAAGAGTATTTGCAAGATTTCTCTCCGAGAGGGATTCACGACCAACACTTTCTCTTTTCTGTGTTAACGTTACTGCTGGGTATTTATCAAAGTATGTCTTATCCAAGTTGGCAAACATGAACGTGACTCTTCTTTGTACTTCTGCCTTTGTAACGTTTGAAAGTCGATGTAGTACTAATCGATGCATAGCTGTTCGTGTTTCTCTTGATCCCAAACCGTAACAAAGACCCAATGTACATATCACTTCACTAAGAAGTCTATAAATAGCAATATTTTTATTAGATACCTCTTGTAAGTCTCCCGCCTCTTCTTCTAACTGTAGAGGATTCGTTGTTGTTGTTGTTGTTGTTGTTATTATTACTGATGATGATGGTGGTGGTGTCGTTGTTGCGAGTATTTGTAGTAAATGAAATAAAACACTGGGATTTGAAATAATAAAAGAACCTGTCGCTATGGAGTTAGCGAGTGCAAACCACCTCCAACACAATACCGCCGCTAATGCATACGTAATATTCGTGGAATGCCACAATACCACAGTAGAGAGTCGTTCACCTATTTGTGTTTTGAAAAGAATACCCGCAATTAACTCTGCACTCTGTGCGGTGTGTTGCTCTATCACTGTGGTGATCCATTGACATCCCAACTCCATCACTTCTCCCCATTGACTACAAACAAGTTCCTCCATTATATGTGGAATAGTGGGATCATTTTGTAAAACTGCAAAAGATGATGGAGACTTTGTTAATTGTATCACTAGACGTAAGAACATACAAAGTGCGGTTACTGTGGCATTTGGAATAACACCAACGCCACCACGCAGACTTGTACGAATATAAAGTATAGCCGCATGATAAACCTTATATTCCACCAATACCTCTACGGCTCCACTTACGGCACTGAGTGTATGCAAGATACTTGCAATATCACAGGCCTGTACGGCTGTGGCTATAGGAATACATCGTAGAATAGAATGAATTAATTTTGGATATGTAAGTGCTGCTGCTGCAGTTGGAGTGGAGATACTTACCATCATTAATAACAATTCAAGTGATCCACCAATAACAGCACTACGAGTTTCTGTGATCATCATACCATATTTTTTATATGTCTTCTTCTTATTATCATTTAAACCGTTCTTCTTTGATTCTACCTCTTCTATGAGTTTTTCTTCTTCTTCTTCTTCCCCTCTTTCTCTTCCTTCAGCAAGTGCAACAGACAATGTCACTTCTAATGCATGAAGAGCATTATGTTCTATTGTTAAGAAATTATGTACTAAAACAGCTGCTGCCTTTTTACCCCAAACGGCGATAAGAGATCCAACTGTGGCGTGCATAGCTCCAAGGGCAATAACTTGAGTTCGTTCACTTGGAATAGGTGCCACGGCGAAGGCTAATATGTACGGAAGTACACCTTCCACATCAGAGAGAATGGCATTCTTATGTTCTGGTAGTGATTCCAACACCACTAACAATTCACGTTCCGCTGTAGCAGGAATAGATCCTAATTGAATATTCCGTTGTAAAAGAGTCCATTGAGCCTGAAGTGCAAGAGCCAATGGAGTTAAACGCATAGTAGAAGAGGAAGGAGGAGGAGGAGAAGAAGATGCAACTACGCCATTATGTCGTTTTTGTTTTTGTTGTTTTTCTAAAGTAGATGATGGGGAATGAACATTTACATGCCTGGATGACCGTGAAGGTGTATGTTTGGCTGCCGCTGAAGTTGTTGTTGTTATTGTTTGCCGTGTATTCCCCCGCTTATCTCCTGCGGTGGCTGGCATATATGTACACGTCTATACAATGATCTAATTATAGAGTATGCGGTTTTACCAGCCAGCCACTTTTCCCCTCTTTTTTTTTTTTTTTTCGTTCCTTCTCTTTCCCACACACACTGCACTAATGAGAATAGACAATATAAGGAAAGAGTGAATTAACAAAGAGAGAAAAGAGATTCAACAACAACAACAAGAACAAATGTATAAGGAGGGACCAGAAGGAGCGAATCAACAAAAACAAAGCGTTAGAATCAAATAAAAAAAAAACAAAGAACAAACACATCACTTATCAGTTTCTCCCTTCATTAATAATAATAAGAAAAAAAAAACAAAAAAAAAGAAACTGAATTGAAGAAAGATCTCATTACGAGAGGGCCCATACCCACGGTATCGCTAATACGAAAAGAAGAAAATAACAACAACAACAACAGAAGTATGTCATGTCATCTTTTCTTTTTTCTTTTCTTTTTTTTTTCACTTTTCCTAATTCCCAGGTGAAAACATCAATAAAATGAGTAATATGTTATATTTGCCTTCCTTTATTTATTTTTTAAGCTTATCAATACAATCAATAATAAAAACAAATCTTGACAAACCACATAGAGACGTGGAGTTGACACAATAACAAAAAAAAAAAGGAATAAGGGAGGAGATAGAAGATCATAACATCAAGAAAAAAAAGGGGTCTACGTTACCGCGACCTGAAGGAGTCATATTTGGCGGAATAATAACAATAAAACAAACAATTATTATCAGGATCAACAAACGAGAGGTGGTTCATACATATGTATATATATATATATATATATATATATATATACAGTAAAAGAAAAACAACTCCCTCCCCAACTTCACACACAACTCCCCACCAGCAAAAAAAAAGAAAAAAAAATGATTGTACTCAAATCAAATAATCAGCACGTACTTTTTCTCTGAAGTTGTTCCTATAAATATATATATATATATATATATATATATATATATGTTTTTTTTCTTTTCTTTTCTTTTTGCATTACACAAACGTACATATATAGAGAGAACACCAATGTGTAGAGGTTGTGTAGGGGCGGGATGGGTGAGAGGAAGGTCACTCACGCACTCACTCACTCTGTTTTGGTTTTACGTAATTCCTTTGCTGCTTCCACCATATTCTTGAGGGATGCACGTGTTTCTGGCCAGCCGCGTGTCTTCAGTCCACAGTCGGGATTCACCCAAAGTCGTTTCATTGGCACTCGCTGGGCGGCTTTAAGCAACAACTCCACCATTGCCTTCACCGTTGGCACATTGGGACTGTGAATATCATACACACCAGGACCAATTTCATTAGGGTATGTAAAGTTATCAAAGGCTTCCAACAACTCCATATCTGAACGGGCTGCTTCCAGTGTGATAACATCCGCATCCATTGCGGCAATAGTTTCAATAATTTCATTTACTTCACTGTAACACATATGTGTATGGATTTGTGTTTCAGGTTTGGCAAGAGCGACGGTAATTTTAAATGCTTCTGCTGCCCATCTTAAATATTCCGGCCAATCTTGTTTTTTCAGTGGAAGTCCCTCACGCACAGCTGGTTCATCCACCTGAATAACATGAATACCATTATTCTGTAAATCATTTACTTCTTCACGTAAGGCAAGGGCAAGTTGCTGCGCTATCACTTTACGTGATAAATCTTCACGAGGGAATGACCAACAGAGAATAGTAACGGGTCCTGTTAACATTCCCTTCATTGGTTTTTGCGTGAGGGATTGGGCATAAGCAGACCATTCCACTGTCATGGCAGCAGGACGGCTGACATCACCAAAGATAATAGGAGGCTTTACACAACGAGATCCATAACTTTGTACCCATCCATTTTCCGTAAAGACAAATCCACTCATTAATTCACCAAAGTATTCTACCATGTCATTACGTTCTGGTTCTCCATGAACCAAGACATCCAATTCAATTTCTTCTTGCTCTTTTACCATTTGTTTAATATGATCCTTTAATTGTTCTGTATACGTTTCCTTAGTCGTTCGACCCTTTTTAAAGTCCAGTCGTTGCGTACGAATATCAGGTGTTTGTGGAAACGATCCAATAGTGGTAGTAGGCCATAAAGGTAGTTTTAAAAGTTTATGTTGAACTTCTGCTCGTTTCAGATATGGAAGAGATCGTTGGGCATCATCCTTTGTTAACTTTGATACCCGTTCCCGTACAGTTTCATTAATCACCCGTTTAGATGTATGATGTTGATGTACACAAGCACTGTAGGCCGTTATTTGATCCTTCGCCCCACTGCTTAAAGCACTGCAAAGAAGACTGAGTTCATCACACTTTTGTAATGCAAAGGCCAACCAACTTTTTAATTCTGCATCTAGTTTCGTTTCACAATCAAGATCCACTGGTGAATGCAGAAGTGAACATGATGTTCCCACCCATAAGGCACGATGAGGTGAACTGCGACGAAGGGCTTCCAGTTTATCATGAATACTGTTTAAATCCGCACGCCAAACATTACGGCCATTAATAACACCTGCAGAGAGTACCCATGATTTTGGTAATGCCTTTTCAACTGCCATTATATCATCATGTCCAGCCACCAAATCCAAGTGTAATCCATCCACAGCCAATTCCTTAATAGTAGACAAGTTGTGTCCAATTCCTTCAAAGTATGTTGTTAGGAGAATTTTAGGTGCGTTGCCTGCCTGTTGACGTAGTGTATCGTACGCTGTTTTGAATGCCGACAACCATGGGGTCTCCAGTTCCAACACAAGTGTGGGTTCATCGATTTGTACCCATTGAATTCCACGTGAGGCCAATGCCTTTAACACCTCCACATATACGGGTAAAATACGAGGTAACAGTGAAAGGCGATCAAACTTCTCTTCAGCCTTTACTTTTCCAAGAAGTAAATAGGTTACGGGTCCCACAAGAATGGGCTTTACACGGCGTGGTTCACATACCTTTAACAACTCATCTACTTCTTCCAAGAGTTGAGGCCATGCAAAACTGAAATTTTGTGTAGGACTTACAAATTCTGGAACGATATAATGATAATTCGTATTAAACCACTTTGTCATTTCAGATGCGGCTGCTGGTGTTCCTGTAGGGGCCCGACCACGTCCAATACGAAACAATGTGTCGATATCAATAATGCCATTTGCAGACTGGTGTCGTGGAGGTACATTATTCAACATAAGACTTGCTGCCAGCATGTGATCATACCAGTGAAAATCACCAACAGGGATCATATCCACTCCACGTTCCATCTGTTGTTTCCAATGACGAAGCCGCAATTCACTGCCAGTGGCGCGTAATCCGGTTTCTTTCTCTTTGCCGGCCCAATACGCCTCAAGGGCTTTTTTTAACTCGCGCTGTACGCCAACTCGGGGAAAGCCCAAAGTGTGTGTCACCACTCCTGATGCCATATCTTTTGGAGAACCTTATTAAGAAATAAAAAAGAAATAATATAATGCTTCTAAATAATAGTTATTGATATATATATATATATATATATATATATGGGTAAGAAAGAAATGAAAGGAAATAGAGGTTAAGTACAACAACAACAACAACAACAACAAAATAATAATAATAATAATAATAATAATAATAATAATAAAATACAAACACTACAGAACATGTAAGCATTCTCTCTACAATTCAATATAGCTACTTCTCTGCGAGTAAACGCTACCTCGCAACTGAATAAATTCACTGATAGCAATAAAACAATAATAAGGACATGAAAAGCGATAGAACTCCTTTTCTGACTAGTAATATATATATATATATTTGAGGGGGAGGGAATTCTATACATGAAATAAACTACCATAACCCTTCGCGCGGTTGTGTCTGTTTTGACTGGTAAGAAGAAGTGTGAAAAGGAAGTGAGGATGGAGGGGATTTTGTCAACAGCGGTGCCACCTCACGAGGAAATGGATGAGATTCACTATTACTTCTACTACTCCACTCATCCCCTCCCATATCCAGAACAGTAAGATTAGGCGAATGTGAAAAAGGCCAGAATCGACATCGACTGCTGTTTTTCTTGCCTAATATAGTTCCAAGAACAATCCACAACCATAGCAGTAAAGAGAGAATCATGTAGAAGAGACCAGCATTGCGACAACAGGCCGCTTTCTCTACTAGATCCCATTCCTGTTTTGCTGCAATGACCTCAAAGGTCCAGCTATTGTGAAACATGAGAGCCGCAAATATGAGCAGGACGACTCCTGCAGTGAGAGTGAAGGAAGCACAGCAGCCAATTATAACAGGAGAAGACATATCATGTACAAACAAAGATAAATTCAAACACTTCACTTCACTTCTTTTTTTTTTTTTAAAAAAAAGCCTTTATCTCCAGATCAGTAATAAAACAACAAACCACAACAAGAATAAGAAAAATAAGAAAAAAAAAAAAAAAACGGAACTGCAATCGACCACCAATCTTCAAATATCCGAGTTGAGAAGATGTCTTTTTGTTTATTTCATCTTTTTTTTTTTTATCTTTACAAATCCATAACCTCTGGCGATTTCTGTTTCGGTATGCTGTGGTCAAATAACGCGAAAAAAGCAAAATAAAATAAAAAAAAAGCATTGACTCGTTTTCGTCCAGTGAGTACAAAAACAAAAATAAAAACAAAAAAAAAACAGCATTCTGCACATGTAAAACAATTTAAAACTACATTTCCTTCTTCCATATCTTTTATTCTTTTTCTTTTGGGTACTTTCCACTTGGGAGAATAATGCGGAAGAATAGGGTCTCCCCTACTGCCTCTGACGCTTTGTGAGGTATACTGAAAAAATCCAAACTCCTCCTTATATGGTTAGAAACGTAGAAGTGTAAACGACGTTTTTTTTTTTTTTCTTTTTTCTTTTAGGGATAATTATTTCTTCCACCTTGACTTCTGGGCGGCCTCTCTTGTCGCCTAACATTGTCATCGCGAGTGTTGGTCTGCGATGGGTATAGTGTTGGTTGAAGTTGAACTTGACCGCGACCGACAACTGCACCTGAGTAGATTGGTTGTTGAGTGGTGTAATCAACATTGACATTAACATTACCACTACTATAGTTATCATGAGAGGAGCGCCGATGCGGCGATGATGGTTTTTTCACTTTCCCATCGTGTATTACTTCTGTTACTGTTCTTCTCGTTGTTGATGATGTTCCTCCTGTTGTCGATATGGGTCCCATGTAAGATGACTTTGAACTTTCTGTTCTTCTATCCTGCTGTACAGGTTGTCCATTTAGAATTCCCGTCTTTGTTTTTTCCGATATAAAGGGACCTCCTTCTCGCTGGTATTCACCCTCTGGCAATGGCATTTTAGGTTTAAGTGATGGTTGTTGCGGTGGACGTGGTTGTTGTTGTGATGGTGGTTGTACAACTGATGAAGGTGAAACTAATGATGAAGGTTTTGCAGTTACTTGTTGTTGTTGTGGTTGTTGTTGTACTACTACTGATGATGATGAAGGTTTCACGTTTACTTGTTGTCTTGCTGTCTTCGCAGGAATGGAGAGAGTCACTCTATGAATAGGTCGATAGAAGAAATCTTCTCCTCGCAGTATGTGTGGTTGCAGCAACTTTGTGAGGGCACACCCAATCGCCAGACCAGGATGACTAATTCCTGTAAATTCCCGAAGTTCCACCAAACTACAGGAGCAATCTATTTTTAAACTATCTGGAATAGTAGTTGTTGTTGTTGTATTAGTAGTATTAGTAGTAGTAGAGCTTCTGCGAGAAGCGGGATTCACACGATCTGTGGTCAAACGTGAAGACGGCAATTGCGGTAGAATAGCACCACTTACGGGAATGATATCAAGATGACAAAGTGGAATAGAGCCATTCCCCAATGCTTTAGAATCTACTACTATATTATTATTATTATAATTATTATAATTAGAGAAAGTTCGAAGGTTGCATGGGGCACTATCGCGATTAAGCAGCAGAATACCTTGAATGACCGTAAGTGTGCGGGGTTTTTTACTTTCTGGCTTTAAACCAATATTATGGAATGATTCTACCACACCCGAGTTACTTCCTCTTCTTGATGTATCCCCACCAGTATTACTATTACTATTAGAACTACCACGTCGTCGTCGTTGTTTATCAAACGTATTGAATAATTCTTCTATTTGTTGAAGAGCATGAGAGACGGCGTTGAAAGGAAATGGACCCAAGGATTTATTATTTCCCTGCATAATGTTCTTCTCCACATTTTCCATTTGTCTTTTAATAACAGTTTCAATAGCCTTAAAATTACCACAGGTGGGTTCTAACAACTGAATCACATCATTGTATACGGCGTAAATAGAAATCCATGGTGAGACCGTCGTATTAGGTGAGGAACGTAACTTTTGAATAACAAAGGCATATAAAGCCTGCCAAATGACATCATTTCTCGTTTGTGGAGTTGTAAATCTACTGCCTTTCGTTCCTATTTTTGAAGTTTCCGATATCTCACTAGCACTATCATTAAGAAGAGTACTATTCATGGTACTATTCACACCACCGCCCTGACGCCTTGGAGAAGCAAGGGGTTGTGGAAGTGCGATATCCGTGAGAAAAATAGAAGGATCCATGTCTACAAATATCACCACCACATCTCGACGATTAATATGATTAGAGAAGTCTACTGGACCGCTTGTTGCCATCCTGTTTTAGTTGGTTTTTTTTTCTTTTTTTTTCGGATTGGCTTATTCTCTCTCTTTTATTCTTTTTTCTTTACTGTGACTTTTGTGTGAAAAGTCAGTTGTTGGATTTTTTTTTTTTTTTTTTGCGGTGAAGTGAAAAACAAACAAACCAACTAACAAACTAACTAACAACAACAATGACAATCTCAATAATAATAATAAAAATAAAAACAGATCTAAACGTTATAACTTGTCTCCTTCCTTTACTAGAGTACTAAGAAATATGCACAGAAAAAAAAAAGTAGAAACAAGAAGGAAGACGCAAGAGTCTAAAATAAAGAGTCAAGGAGAAGAGGAAGGAATATATATATATATACTGATATCGACCTTTATTTATAGAAGCATTTTACTTTGAAAAAAGTTTTTTTTTTTACTCTTTTCTTTTATTTACGGCCATATGTGCTCCGTAGACTTCGTCTGTGACGAGTTAGTATAAAAAAATGTATTTCTTCATTGTTTAATCGTCAGTTCATCATCTTTCTCCTCTTCTTAACACCATCTTTTTTTTTTTTTTCTCATTCACTTCAACTTCCTCATCAACTATAGGCTTACACCCTCCTCACCTCCTCACACACACACACACTATCGTCTCTTTTTTTTTTTTCCTTTTTTCTTTCACCACCATCATCACATCATCACATCACCACCACCACCACCACTAACACTATCATCATCATCAAAAGGAGGAAACAAAAGAAAAAAGAAAGAAATAAAAAAAGAAAGAAAGAAAACACTTTTTCTCTTATAGTAACCGACGGAGAGCCGCATTCTTCTTCAAGTCTGATGCCTCCGAATCATCATGTTTCTTAGTGATAGCGGTATGTTGTTGACTATGCAGTACACGCATATCATCATTAAAATCAGCCTCCTCACGCCGGCGTTTCTTAAGTTGAATCTGCATTGCCTTTTCTTCCATTTCCTCAGCATCATCATTATCTCCATTCGCTCCACGGCGTTCTGCTCGTCGGTTCTTTGCCCTTCGCTGCTGTGCAATCTTGGATGTACGCATAGTTTGCTTAGATCGCACCTTATCTGCACTGTCTTTCTTATCCCATTTTTGCATTTTGCGTTCCTTTGCCTTTTCCTTCTTTGTCTTTAATTCTCGTGTAGCTGGACGTTCTGTGAATCCGAGGTTCTCATCTACTTCCTCATCATCCCCCACCTGCAAACCAGTGGGAGCCTTATCACCAAGAGATTTATCTGCCCGTCTCTCCTTCTTTTCTCGAATAGCTCGTGCTTTACGATTAAGTCGAATGTTTTCATTATATTCGGCAAGTCGAGCCTCATTTACCCCAGGCACTTGAATATCCAGAGAGATTGTATCTGGAGGAAGTTTATCCAATAATGTCGACACCACACGTTCCTTTCTATGGCGCTCGGTCTCATGCGGGTTAGCGTAGAAGAAGTCTGGATTAGCATCACCAGAACCAGGAATAAGAAGAGATTGAAATCCACGTGAATGTCCAACACCCAAGACATCCTCAAATGGACAGAATCGAACTTGTTGGGCAATATTACCATAACCGAGTCCAAACTTCATATACGGGGCATTGGGCTTTGAACTAGAAAAGATACCTTTCCATACTTGTATATTAGTTCCTCCACCCATCGCCACAAGTCCGGAACTGGAGATATCAATCGTGTTAAAGGTATAAGATACGGCATATTCTTCTAGAGGTCGTAATGTACGGCAGTCCCAGACTTTAAATTTATGATCACCACCAAGTGTGAGAAAGAAACGACCATTTGGATGAAAACGAATATCATCAATAACACCTTTATGTCCTTTTAATTGCACAAGTGGATCTACAACGTTTGGTGACCACAATTTCACCACACCCCGCAAATCACATGTTGCCACCACTCCATTACTTGGATTAACAGACATACATGAAGTGGGATCTCGTACTACCGATGGGACCTTGGCACCCAGTTCTTGTCCTGTACTGATATCCATATACTGCATAACACTATACCGTGAAGAGGCCGCACAGAGAAGCATATGTCGTGGTAAATATGCCAGTCGATCCATATTTGCCATTCGTGAGAGAATATGCATTTCTGCACCTTCTTTGGTATACATATAGACATATTTTTTCTGAGCCAAAGCCGTTATTGTGTGATCAATAAGAAACTTGGCATCATCAATTCGGTCCTTTAGTTGAGTTTCACCATTAAGAGCGAAATCTTTCCAACGAATATTCGCCACATGACCTCGAAATCCTGCCAAAAGAAGATGTGTACCATTTATAGTGAAATCCACCTTATATGGTCCAAGTTTATCCAGTATTAACTCATACTTCTTTTGTTGGGTTTGTAAATCCACAGCATCCATGATATCATCCTGAGTAACACGATCGGCAACCTCGCGATCATCTAATTCCAGTCCAGTGTTGGGCTTTTCCATTTTTGTAAAGAGATTCACACGAGCCACACGCTTCGGTGCTTGTCGTTGCACTTCTTCACGTTTTCTCACCTCCGCATTCTGAAGTGCATTGTTGTCTGTTACCCAGCGACCACGTAAATGCATCTTCTCCTCACGCATCTTTTCATCTCGCAGCTCAAGACTGCGTTGCCGTATGAGCTCCTTCGTCTCCTTCGATACAGCTGGACCACTGACCATTTTTCTTTCTTTTCTTCTTTTTTTTTTCTTTTTCTTTAAATAATAATAATAATAATAATAATAATGTTCAGTTCTCTTTTCTCTTTTTTCTCGTTTAGTTCCCTCCTTAGTTCGTGTGTGTTTCTTCCACCTGCGCCTTCCCACCAAGCCACTCAAGAAGCAAAAATAAGAAAAAAAAAGAAAAAGAAGATGAAGAATAATAATAAAGAAAAAAAAAAAAAAAACGTTATAGTTTTTATGTGAGAGACTCCATAAGCCAAAGGTTATCATTCTTTCTCATCAATACCCTTTTATCTCTGCAGTTGTCTCGAAAACCGTTGCCGATGTTACGACAGTTCCCTCAATCTCCATTACCTTCTCTCCATGTAGTTTAGTTTTCTTTTTTCTTCTTTACTCACTTCAACATTGTAAAAAAAGAAAAGAAAAAAGAAAAACAATGTTTTCCCTAAGTTTTTTTTTTTCTTTCACTTTCTCAGGACTATTGACATTTCTTGTATGTCTTCAGGGCGTTTTGCTTTCACGCTAAGCGCTCTTTTTAGTCCCCCAGAGTGAGATGCCCAAATAAAAAAAAAAAAAAGTAAATAAGGAAAAAAAAGAGATGGAGAGTGAGTGAGAGAAAAGTAGACACGTACAAGTACACTAATAAAACTTTGGAAGCCCAAGAAGAGAAAAAAAAAAAAAAGGATGGGACTAAACAATGACAAGACAACACTCACAAGCATCATCATTTATTGTTATTCCTCTGCAAGGAAATGTTCAAGTTGTTTCAAAATTTCACGTGATTCTTCCCAATAACGCCGCTGTTGAACCTCCCACTGGTCCCCACCACCACCACCTTGTGTTACATCTACCTTATTTCTTGTACACGCTGCTTTTCTGTCATATGGAGAATCTGTAGTTTTTGTTGTTGTTTTTGTTCCTGTTGTTCTATTATTATTATGATTATTATTATTATTATTATTATTATTATGATTATTATTCTTTTTCTTATTGGTATTGGCGATACCTGGCACACCGTTAGCACGCCCAGTGGATCTGGTGCGTGTGGGAGGCCCAGCCGCAGAACCAGATCTACCAACCGGAGGAGGAGGAGCAGCTGAGAGATTTCTATTAACTCTCAATGTGGGGCGAGAACCCGTCCTCACATTTCCTTTACTACTACTACTATTATTATTATTAACAATACCACCATTCCCACCACCGCGTCCTGTAAAGAGACTGCGACCCCGCATCTTTTCACGTGTGATATTCTCAGACTTCCGTTGTCTAGAACTCAACATCTGTGTAGTTGTTGGTGCTGGAGCTGGTGGTGGGATGGACCACATACGCTTCTGTTGTGTATGAGCAGCAGAGCGTCTTGTTCTCTCTGACTGTTTATGGTGGGAGTGATTGCAACGATACAGAATGGAGCGTTTGAGTTTCTCTAAGGCATCAATGATGTTTTCAGGCTTCTCTCGCTCCGGAGACCGCGGGGTCTCACGAAAGAAATGACCTCGTGGATTGTAGTATTTCTCACGCAAAGGGGCAAAAGGTGTTGAACCCAAATCCATTGATTTTGGTTGTCTCCCTTGACCAGACGCACGAAGAGTATTATTATTATTATTATTATTATTATTATTATTATTTCTGTTGCCAGCACTGTTCACAACGTGACGTTCCCCTTTACTTGTTGTCATTGTATTCCTTTTAGGCGGCTGAATTGCAGAGACGGCTCTATTTGGTAATAAATGTTCGTCTCCCGTACAAGAATTACTTTCTTCATACAAAAGAGTCTCATTCCTTCTATGCGAACGATGTGTTGTTTCCCATCCTTTAAGACTACCAGATGAACCAGGGTGTTGTTTCACCTCTTGCAGGTGTACATTTCTTCCATCAAGAGAAGGATTGTATACTACTCTTTCACTACTACCATTCCGAATCATTCTAGGTGAGATTACTGTATCTATAGTAGTAGAAGGCTGTTGCGATAACTGTAAAGCTTGTTTACATACCATCATCTCACGTCGTACATCCATGAGTTCCTTTTCTAACTCTCCATTCAGTTGAGATATGCGGAGTATTGTTCGTTCTAAAAATTGTATATACTCTGAAGATTTTATAGGCACAGACTCACTGCTTAGACTAGTACTACATGGTTCCTGTTCTTTTTCGTTTTCTTGCTCTTGTTCTTCTTGTTCTTCCAGAGGAATTTCTTGACTTTTAATACGATTATCATTTGTCAAGGATTCACATTCATCCATTTTTTCCTGCACTCCACTCTGCTCCCCCACCTCATGTACTCTATCTGGGAGTTGTACGTTATCTGTAGTATGTGGACAGCAATCACGATCTGCATTGTTGTTGTTGTTATTATTGTTGTTATTGTGATTGCGATCCGCCTTTACTTTTCGTGTTGGCTGCATGTGTCCATCGCGGCGGGGCACCGCACATTCACCCGCACCTTTTCCGTTCCGCATATGATAATATAGTAAACACACACACACACACCGAGATAGATAGATAGATAGATAGATAGATAGATAGAGACAATATACAGGAACGTTAGAGGAGGGAAAGGGAGGGGAAAGGAGAATATATATATATATATAGATAGATAGATACACACACAGACACAGACACAGACACAGACAGACACCCCACCCTATATATGGAAGGAAATTACAAAGAAAAGAAAGAAAAAAGAAAAAAAAACATGATAGACAAACGAAGAAGCAGAGAAATAGCAATGAAAATAACTGAAGAAAAAAAAAAAAAACATAAAATCAGAAAAAGAAAAAAAAAGAAGAGAACTTGAAGATAACAGAATATTGGATATATTCTGGAAAGTGTAAATGCAAAGAACCATTTTAATGGACGTGTTCCATCAGAAAAAAACACTCTGAAACAGGAAATGATTTCATATATATATATTTATATATATATATATGAACCCAGACCCGGATGTGTTTGTGTGCGTGTGTATGAAAAAGCAAGAACAGATAAGGAGAAAAAGAAAAAAAAAGAAAAGAAGCAAATAACGATCAAAGATCTAATCAAGCAAAAATAAATAAAAAAAGAAAACACTTTCAAAACATAGACACACACATCCACATAACGAGCAAGGTAATAAGCATCCATAAATACGCAAACAATTGTCTATATATATATATATATATATATGAGAGCAATTGATAGAAGCAAATAAATAATAATAATAAAAAAGAAACTTTTTCATTTCCTATTCTTCATCATCATCATCATCATCATCTACCTTTTACTGGCTCATCCTGCGAAACCCGTCACGCAAGTCCTCTCGCATTTTAATAAACTGTACCTTTTCCTCACTACTCATCAATCGCAAAAGTCCTGTTTCCCGTACACCCTTAATATGATCCCATGACATCAAAAGCAAACTTGCCGTTTCCTTCAGCATACGAAAGAGGACCTCCACCACAGCCCCCCCAAGCCCTGGTGTGTGGATAATAGGACCCATAGCCTCCATATATGCCGTTACATCTTGTTTGTAAATAAGAGCCCCGCGGTCATTCACTGTGAAAGACTTGAGATGTGTTACGATCCCACGATACAGACAGACACCAACGGTGCGAACAAAGGAGGAAGGACCACCATCACCGTATAGTAATTGTTGCATATTCATTGTTCGTGCTCGTGCTCGTACGGCATCTGAAATAACATCCATTCCTTCTGTGTGTGAAGATGTACGGTTGTGAACACCTGTATTCGAAGGACCTTGAAGTTTATTATTAGCCATAACGTGTTCTAATGTAGCTCCAGAGGCCACTTGTGAGGCGGTTTGTCGGTGTTGGATTTGTCCATTAGAGAGTCGAATAAACTCTTTTGCCTCTTCAAACTGGCGGGTGATGTATAAACAGAAAAGTGTACAGGCACGAGTACAGGGTTGTGCTATCATTTCCCCTTCTCCACCTTTAGCAACTTTTGGCATATAATCATTTCGATTTTGATAATGTAATAAAATAGATAAGGATCGTACAATAATGGCATTTGCACAGAGATTTAAAAGTGTCTCTGCATGTTCATCCAATGTCTCAAACGCGGATTCTTTCGCTTCTTCAATGGCTGTAGTCAGACGAGTATCAGTTTGCATAAAAGTTAATGTACCTACAGTGATGGCATCATTTAAACTCATTAGTGAAGATTGTACAAAGAGTAACATGCGTAAACCACATTGTTGAGATTCTAATTTAGTGGGTCGAAGTAATTCTTCTTCACTTTTTGGTTTAATACGCCAATTCACTCGATCAGCTCGTATGGAATCAATTGTCTTACGTAGTTCCTCTTCAAGATAGTGTCCCATATTCTGTAATGATTCCTTCACAAGATCTAAAATACATGCAGCGACATCTTTTGCAGGGGCGTAATTACGTGTACGAGTGACAACTTCTGTGAGTCTTTCAATTAATTCTTTTGTTTTCCGCATATGCGCCTCACGAAGATCAAAGACTTCATCTGGAATAGGATGTAAATCACGTGTATACTGTTCCTCCAATAAGGCATGATAACGACGAAGGAGTTCAAGTTCTGCTCGTTCTTCTACAAAAGCCGCTCGACTACTAAAGATAGAATCCACATACTTATTAAGAAAGTCCGCTTCACCGGCATCAAATATACCACGTAACTCATCCACATAAGATTGAAAAAAACTAAATAAACGAACTTGCATATTATGTGAATAAGAAATAGCATCTACTACTCGTGGTGTTGCTCGTCTTTTAGATCGTGGTGAGAGATGAACCTCTGCTTCTAATATATCTCTTTCAAAAAATTCTACAAGTTTTAATTGTTGTGTCACAAATGGCTTTACTACACCTTCTGTCATTTGAGCTAATAATTGTTGACGAGCTGAGTTTGTTGTCCCGAATATCGTTTCCACTATAATAACATCTCGACGTGCACGAGATATGAGAAAATCAAATGTACGTTGAAGATCCGGTTCTGTTGTTGTTCGGTAGTGTTGCATAGCTGTAGGTGTATAACTAGCAGCACTCCCGGTATTTCCAGTTGAACTCCCTAATGGAGGTTGTGTAGGAAGTGGTTTTAATGAGTATTCACTAAAGAGAGTTACACCCATTTGATTAATAGCACGAGAATAAAATACAGACAACAACGCATCATGTGAAGAAGTAATAGTAGCATACAATCTAGAAATAAGTTCAAGTGTTTTAAGAATGGATCGACCATACACTTGATGTACGGCGGTATCTGGATGATCTTTATATAATTCATTAAAACACTCCACAAGGTGAAAGATATCGGCTACAAGTTCCTGTCGAAGCCAATCTGCATATAATTCAATATTTGCTGTATTCCGCACAATACCATCTAATTCATTTCGCAAATGTGATAATCGTTGACACCACTCCACCTGTGCCTCTGTACAACTGCGAATGGCAAATGCCCGATCAAGACCCGCAGCAACAGCCGCAGTCTCTAGACGATGCATCTTCTCTCGTCCAGCACCTCCACTTGTGGAAGTGGTGCTGGTGTTATTTTCACTATTATCATTTCTCTCTCCACTTCCACCAGTTGTTGTTGTTCTTCCTCCTCCTGCTGTATTGTTAGTGTTGATGGGCAGCTCTGATGTTCCTTCGTCTGTTTCTAATATCGACACTACACGTCGTCGTAGTTGTCGTGGACCACCACGCAGGAATGGACCACGAGTTCTACCACCTTCATTATTCTTCTCGCCTTGTTGTTCGCCAAAGCTCGTATTATCGTGTTTATTGCTTTTACGATGATGCTCATCATCACTTCCACCATCATCATCCCCTCTCTCATCATCTGCACCAGCAGCATTATTATCATTATTACTGTTGGTTTGAGCATTATTACTATTAACACCACCAAAGTACATGGGATCCGATGGGGATACAAATCCGGCTTCCCACTGCGAGGTCACAAATACCCGCTGCTCTACACGAGCTTTAGATAAATTCTTCAATACAGCACTTAATTCACCGAAATTCATTTGTGTTAACATCTTAAAGTGTTTGAGAAGCTGCGAGACGGAACGTCCTCGCAGTACCCGTGCATTCGACTGTGAGAGATGTTGTTCAATTCCTGCCGTTGCGGCGAGGGCATTACACACACGATTCTCATACTCATGCAATCGTGCTGTGGTGGCCTCTAGTCCCAATCGAATAGTGGCGAGTTGCCGCTTCTCGCGGATCTCAACACGGCGGCATCGCACTTCATTCAATTGCAGTGTCCGCTCCTCCACCGCCCGCATCTGCGCAATATCCGCCAGTGCCTCTTCAAGTGTTACGGTGAGTCGACGGGCAACGGCGGTGTAGTCTACCGGGGCTCCATACATATCCACACCACCTGTTTGAATAGTAGTAGTAGTAGTAGTAAGACTATTAGAATTAGCGGTATTGGTATTGGTAGTATTGGTAGTATTAGATCCTCTGCCTGGTGTTCCGGATGGGGATGTTGTTGTGGTTGATGGGGATGGAATATTCTTTCGTTGGGCACTTAGAATAGGGAAGAGCACGCGGTTGGTGATGTTGTTTGTGAATGTTGGAGCTGAGAAGTGAATGGAAGTGAAAACCATTCGGTCTAAAGGAGGACGTTGAGTTTCTTGATTTTGCTTTTGTTGTTGATGTTGTGAGGAATGTGGCCGCTTGTTCGTACGAGCCACAGTACCGCTGGCACCGGTATCACCACTATTATCATGCTTCTTGCTCTTGTTAGTATCGTTACTATTATTATTAATATTAATATTATTAATATTATTATTGTTATTATTGTCATTCTTCTTATTAGTAATAGCCGCTGTTGCACTGGCAGTCTTATCACCTCCGCGGCGCAATACGGTCCGTTTCACACCACCACCAGCAGCTGTGGATGACATTCCTTTCCTTTCCTTTTATTATTATTATTATTAACAAGAAAAGAAAAAAAAGAGAAAGGGTATAACAACAGCAACAGAGAGTCATCCAACGTCAAAGAGGGACGGAAATAAAAAAAGAAAAAGTAAATAAATAAAGAATGAAAACAAAAAAAAAGGAAAATAATAATAATAATAATAATAATAATAATAATAATAGATGGTTTATCTAAGTGGAGCAAGGAAGCAAAGAAAAGAGAAATAGCAGTAGTAGTCGTAATAGTCGTCGTAGCCATAGTGAATGAAAACCCCCAGCAAAGATGTATAAACAATAAAAAGAGTCGTAAAAGAAAAAAAAAAAGGAGATAAAGGAATAGTATACACTACGTACATTCTAAAATCTTTTAAAGAAGGATCATATGTGCATATACAGATCCTCTCTTCTTTTTCTTCTTCTTTCCTTCTCCATCTCCCCTTTATTTCTTTATTCCTCTCTCTCTCTCTATCACTCTCCTTCTTTCTATCGTCTTACTTATGTTGGTTACATTCACTCATATCTACTTTTCTTTCTTCTCCATCAAGATGGACCTCTTTCCATTTATTACACACATACATACAAAAAGAGAGAGTGAGAGAGTGAGAAAAAGACAAAGAGACAAAGAGAAAGACACTCGCACAGGTAATGACGTCCTTCTCATTCACATTGATTCAAAAAGTCACTCTTTTTCTTTTCTTTTTTCTTTTTTCCTCATTCCCTTTCTTTTCCATTTACTTTTGTCTTTTTTTTTCATTTTCTTCTTTACCACACCTAATACCATAGTATATATATATGATATGGGGTCATTTGAGCAATAGAGAAAGAAAGAAAAAAGAAAAAAAATAACGTGATAACATCAACACAGCGAGCAAAACACACACACACACAGGAAAAAAAAAAGGTAATCGTCTAACCAATCAAGTCAATTTCCCTCCTCCCCTCCCCTCCCCTCCTGCAAGTGAAGGGAAAATAGAAGAGAAATAAGACTCAATTCTCTCTGCAAATGAAAACCCGCAACCATAATAACAGAGATATATTCTCCTTTTCCACACCTATACATGCGTTTATATATATATATATATACTGTATTATGTCTAGAAGAGAGAAAAAAAAGGGTGTAAACTATCTTCGCCGCTTGTTCTTATCATTGCTGCTGTTGCTACCACTGTCACGTGGCGAGTTACTCACCTTTTTACTGCGTTGTCCACTACCAACATTTGCGCTGTTTTTCGCCTTCCCACTGTTATTATTATTATTATTATTATTATTATTATTATTATTATTGTTATTATTATGAATCTGTGCATCCAAGGCAGCTTTGGCGACTCCCTTCTTCATCTTAATAATCATTGTGCTACTATTCTCATTCTCATCAGGCCCCAGCAGCCAAAATGGAATTCGCATCCACGTATACATAGCTGAAAACAAAAACAACACCAGCAATACCACTATCATAAGAGCCAAGACGCCATTATAGAATGTTTTGCTTCCACCATCTGTGAGTAATGTAATAAATGCCGTAGTCAGGCGTGTTTGTAATAAAGGCCACTCTTTATTGCGAATGAGAGCCAAAAACTCCCACAGGGAAGCAATAAATCCATCCAACGTCATTCCATATGTGTGGTGGAGGAAAAATAATTGCACCCAAACACGCCAAACCAAATTTGGCAGCAAAACCGCAGAAAGAAGAAAAGGGGCAAATGCTACTACAATCACAATACAGGCAAGAAGTGTCATTTTCGGGATAAATGCAAATGTAGCCACCTTTGCATACATTAATCCAAGTTGCCATGCCTCTGCAAGTCCACTACTGTCTTCATCAAAACCACGATTCTTTCGGTATAATTGAATCTCATCATACACCAAGTTGGAATGATGGGCAAAAAAACTTGCCGTCTCTGTGTAGACATCCTGTAAAGATTCATACTCTGAAAGTGCAAATCGAGCGACACCCTGCAGTGTTTCTGCGAAAAGTCGAATATGCAGCCACGTGATTTCCCCCACGTATTTCACCTGTTCAATGTAGGAATCGGTGTCAAGAGTTGTGGTGCGCATTGCCTCCATTTCGCGAATGCAAATCCGTGGGAGATTCCCGTGCCGCACGATCATATTTTCATCAAAGACGCGGGTGGCGGCGGTGGCGGATTCAAATGTCGTCCACGCCTCCTTCAGTCGCTGTCGAGTGTCGCCCCTCGCCGGGCGTTGGCCGTCTTTTTCCTCCGCTGCGATGCTGCGCAGTTCATTCAACTCCGCCCGGGCCTTTGATTCCCGCGCGAGGATGGCGGCCCGATGACGGACGGCCTGCTGCAAATAGGCCACGACGGCATCTGCACAAGGGGATGAGGATTTGCCGGACTTTGTGGTCGGCACTGCAGCCGCAGTGATGATGATAGTATTGGTATTGGTATTATTAGTAATAGTAATAGTAGCAACAAGGGCCATGAGGATTAGGATCATTTTTATTCGACTACAGTTTATACCCTGTAAAGGAAACATCTTGCATGGACTCATTGGTTTTTTTTTTTTGTTGTTGTTTTTGTTCTTCTTTTGTCTACGAATTTATTATTATTAATATTTTTTTTTTCTTCTTTGGTAAGCTCTAATATGTATATATATAGATATAGATTCGTTTTTTGTTTCTCTGTTTTTTTTTTCTTTATTATTCCGTTAAATTCTTTTTTTTCTTTTTTTTTTTTTTTCTAAAGCAGAACCGTATTACTACTCTTCTTCTTCTTTTTCTCTTTATTTATTTCTCTCTGCAGTATTTTTCATAAGTTTATTTACATTCAAATACAGAAAGAAAAGAAAAGAAAAGGAGTAATGAAACTTGAAGAAACCGATAGCAGCAGAAAAAAAAAATAAAACAAGAACAATATCAAGAACGATACAGAGAAAAAAAAAGAAAAAAAAAAGATATATATATATATATTTGTAGTGTATTACCGCCGTACGGCTGCCGTTGTGAATTTCTTTTCAGAACTTGTGATAGCCTTACCGCTCTTACCGGCGCGGTACGCAGCATCAATGATAGGCAATAGATCATCTGCCTCCATAAAGAAGTTTATCTTATTATTATTACCCGTACCCACATCTACACGAATGTGTGTATTGCGAAAGAAGAACATCACCGCAAATGGTTCCCGATCGTGTCCAAGTTCATACATTTCGTTAAATGCCGGCACTTCAACTGTGGAGACGGCATACATGACACAATACTTCCGTACTTTTGGGGCAAGTGTCATCAGCACCTCATCCATCTGTCGAGTGGCAATATAATGGGACATAGTTCCACTGTTCTCATCTATACTTCTTGTTGTTGTTGCTATTTGTGTTGGTGTTGGTGGGTTTTCATAGTGACTGAAGCGCAACAAGACAAGTCTTTCGCCCTCGAGGACAATGTGGCGGTCAACATCCCACGCAGAGTGCAGATGCGTTAGCTCAGCCATCACGTCCTCACTGTATATATATATATATATATATATATATATATATAGAAAGAGAGAGAGAGAGAGAGAGAAAGAAATGGAAGTAAATGAAAGAGAAACAATATATAGGTGAATATATATATAAGTGTTTAAAGGTTTAAAGGATGAAAAGAGATTTCTTTTTTTTTTTCTTCTTCTTTACGCGGCCTGAACTTTTTGCATACAATTATTTCCCAACAATGATAATAGCGTACACACACAGACGCACACACACACACAAACACAAACACGCCTGTACATAAATATACATAGACGTGTAAAATAAATAAAGAAGCGCTCGAAACCAACCAACTAACTAACTAAATAATAATAATAATAATAATAATAATAATAATAATAATAATAATAAAGATTTAAGAAAAAATGTCAAGCAATCATTCATTTTTCACGTACTAGAGAATGAGAACAATAAAGAAATAGTAAAAAAGAAACGAAAAAAAAAAAAAAAACTAAGACCAAACCCCTCCCGCAAAAAAAAAAAAAAAACAAATAAACAAATATGATCTAAATATATATACTTTTACTGTCTTTCCCTTTCTTTCTATTCTTCTTATTTCTCTCCCATTATACCGCTACTACATGTAAGGCATTGGCGCTGTTGAGCATTTTATCCATCACCGCCTGTGTTTTCCACGCCAGTGTGGACCAATACCGCCGCTGCTCCTCACGGGCCACAAGTTTCCCCGCCGCATTTCGATAAATGATGCGGCCCACATCCCTCCACATATCATCCCGTTGACTCTCTGTGGTGTCCTCTGAGGAGTAGTGCTGCACATCGCGTTCCACTTCCCATCGACAGCCCCGCACGGATGTCTTTTCGCGGGTGATGGTCCACGCGGCGGGAGAGCCCGTCACTGGATGGCACATATCTTTTACTCGCAGCACGGCCTCTGTGCCAGCGACCGTGAGGGTTTGTTCATCCATCCCATCAAAGCTGGTGAAGAGAGAGGCGATGGTGGTGTGGCCATCCACCTCGAAGGTGAGTTCACCGGAGAATTGCACAATCGCACCCTTTTCTCCACCGGTTTTGATAATACGGCCGGTAACGGATGTTGGTGTGTGTTGGTCCATTACGTGAAGAAAGTAACGAATACTGTACCAACCCATATCCCCAAGAGCCCCATGGGGTTCTAAGGAAGGATCCATGCGAATATCTTTTTCAAAGAACTCGGGTGGGGCATTTAGACAGTGATTGGAGTGCATGTGTTTAATGGGACCCAATGTGCGGGCGGCGGCGGAAACGAGTTCCACACGTTTTCCATGTGAAAACATAGTGCCATCCATGTAGAGAAGTTCTTTGGCGTCCAGGGCTTCTATCCATTCTCGCAGTTGTTCTGCTGAGGCCGCTGGGGGTTTCTCCCCCACCACATGTTTTCCATTCTCCACACACTTCTTCACCCATGCCTCTCTGGTGGTGACGGGAATGGGAATATAAACCAAATCCACATTGGGAGAAGAAACCACTTCATCATATGTGGTTACACGGGGGCGGTGGTCTGCGGAATTGGGAATGTTAAGTTCATCACAGACTTCCTGCACAAATGCCGCGCCTCTTTCGGGATCGCGAACACCAATTAATGTTACTTTGTGGCCTGCACGGTGAATAGAGGCCCACACAAGACGTGTGATGTTGGCTGCACCAAGAAGACCAACATTGATAGATGTAATTTCGTTTTCCATGATAGAGAACTGTTTATATTATTATTATAATATTAATATAACAATAATAATAATAATAATAATAATAATAATAATAATAATAAAGACTGATATACTTTCGATAAATATGTTTTTTTTTTTTTTTTCGTTTGGTTGTTAAACAAGATGAATTTTTTTTCTTTTGGTTTACTTCACTGAAAGGGTAAAAAAAAGAAAAAGAAAAAAAAAGAAAAGAAAAGAGAGCGAGAAAAAAACATTTATACATAATAGCAATAATAAGGATAAATCATATACAAATAGATTGAAAGAAATATATGGAAATACTCTGACTTTGAGAAGGCGAACAAATTCACTGTAAGCATGTATGTATGTATGTATGTGATCTTCATTATCATCACCACTAATAACATCACGATCAAATTTACTCTCATTCCTTCTTCTTTCTCCGTTTATATAATCTATTTCCCCTCTATATACTCTCTCTCTCTCTTATCCCTTGACGTCTGCGTTCAATTCTCCTGACATCTTTCCAGCGTTAAGAAGAGCATCCACCACTACCTGTGTGGTCCATGTGTGTTTCATATATCCCAACGCCTCCTCCGTATCTCCGCGGAAGTGAGAGGCAAGACCAGAAGCTGTGGCGTTTGTATTCCACGAAAGTACATCCCGCAGTCGTTGCCACGGCATCTCTCCCCATATGGTTCCCTCCACTACACATATTTCCTCTTCTCGTCGTATATTACGGCGAAGGTGTTTCTCCTGCACTGGCTCAAGTACAGCACGCGTAATCGTAGCGGTGTTATCAGTATGATTAGCATCACTGTGAAGGGCAGGAACGATAAGATCATGTAGTGTGAGTGAACCCATCGTACCGTACACCCTCAGAGATTGTTCCATCAACCCTGTAGATGTTGTTCCTGTTGTTGATAATGATGTTGATGATGATGGGATAGACTTTAGGTAGATGGAGGCAGTAACAGGAACATCTCCATCAGCAAATGTGAGTTCCCCCGAATACTCCATATTATTATTATTATTATTATTATTATTATTATTATTATTATTATTATTATTATTATTATTATTATTATTCTTTTCCCCATATTGTAGTACATGACCCAACACTGTTGTGGGAACTTCACAATGCACTACTTTCAACAGTGCCGCCACTGCCATCCAACCTAGATCTGCAAATACACCAAATGATGTATTGTTATCTGTGTCACCATCCACAACACACGTTGTAGAGAATGAACCACTATCGCCATGAGTATTGTCGCTCTTATCACTATTATTATTATTAGTATTATTATTGAAAGGGGGTAAGGAAGAGGAGGAAGAAGAAGAAGGACGGGAACAACAGCAAGACAAACGAAGTGATCGAAGTGGTCCAATATTTTTATCACCACTGTTACTAAGCATTGCACGTACACGATCTAATCGTTTACCCTGCATGAGTGCAGCATCATCGGTAATAAGTAAACGCTGTGGATTAGCAAGTTCCATCCATTTCTGAAGTACTGCAGTGGATGGGGCTGCAGGAATAGAGAGAAGAACATGTTTACGTTGTCGAATACAGCGTTTCACCCAAACATCACGTCCCAACACAGGTATCGTAATATACACAATATCCACCTCACGACTATCCACCAATTCTTCATATGTACATGCTCGTACTTTTGCTGAACTCCCCTCCTCCTCTTGTTGTTGTTGTTGTTGAATACTGCTTGTTTGAGTTTCTTCCTTTTTCATTACAGTGCCATTACATGCTTTAATGAATGCCTCTGCCTCCTTCCCATCATGTGATCCCACGGCAACGATTTTAAGTCCTGCAGTGTGTATAGGCTTCCACACCCGCTGTGCTGATTGTGAGGCCCCGAGAATACCAATGCGGGGTGGATGAGGTGCTAATGAATTCCTATTCGGTGGGTTTCGTGTAATCGTTCTCATAATAGAGAGACTCCTTTTTTTTTCTTTGTTTTATTTGTTAACTTCTTCTATATGTTTTTACGATATATTCTTATTATTAATTGCTATTGTTATATATATATATATATATATATATATATTTTTTTTTTGTAAAGAGTGAGTTGCAAAGGAGATGACCGCAACAACAACAACAACAACAGCAGCAGAAGAGAAAATGGAAAGAGGAAATAGTTTACTCTCATATATGAAATGAAAAGCAATACTTTCCTTTCTCTGTACATTTCCAGAATGACAAAAGCATATCCATAGAAAGAGAAAAAATATAAATAAATATAAATATACGTAGTCGCAAAAACATGAAGTGTATTAAAAAGAAGGGGATTAGATGGGAAATTTAAAATATAAATATATATAAACAAGAAGAAAACTTATTAATGCATACCCGATGTACACTGTAAAATCTTGTTTTTTATAAAAGTTACTTTAGTTCCTTCTCTCTTTTCCTAATTCTATGTATTACTTCACAATTCACACTGTATTTAGAAAATAAAATATTGAAGTGTGTCTTCTACTCCTCACACACGTTCATATATATATATAGATAAATAGATATATGCGTTTGCGAAACAAATAGTCCCACCCATTCACTTACTTTATCACGGAACTACACCCACACAAACAAAAAAATCTATGGGACCAAGGAATAATGAGTTAATTTTAAAAACAAGAAAAAGATCCACTAAGAAAAACAAGAAAAAGAAACAAATTTCAATTATTCCATTTGCTTCCTTTCTCTCTATGTATCATCTCTCTCTCTCTCTCTCTCTATTTCTTCCCTGCAGAAGTGCTATTTCCTACACTTGCTGTATCTCCTTTACCACTCGCCTTTGCACTCGCCGCTGCGGCATCTGCGGCTGCATTCACCATTGCCATTCGCCCAATCCGGCGGTACGGGCCCCACCAGTCGTCCTCTCCCGCTTTGCTGAGTCTGACGATATCGAAGGAGGACCACCGCGCCTCACACACACCGGGCCTAAACTTCATCCCACACTTCTTGCTGGCGGCCACCCACGCATCCAGCAGTTCTTCCATCGCCGGCCGTGCGAGTGTTTTGGCATCGCGGAAGTGATATGCAATGCGATAGGCGTTGATGCCAAGAGAAATCCACGAACGCCAATCGCCCACGTCGGCCTCACGAGTGCCGTTGCGAAGCCACGCAGAGACCGTCTCTACTGCCTCACGTTCGGTGCGTGGGAGTAATACTGCGGGGAGTTTAACTTCTCCTGACTTCCCGCTGTTGTGAACATCACCGCCGGATCCCGCTGCTGCGATGAGAGTTTCCTCCTGTGCTTGAGAAGTGCGGGGGGCATCAAAGTGCAGCAGACGGGAATATGTGCCGGGTTCACGCACACACACAGAGTGAAGAGCCGCAACGGCGTCTGGCACAATACCGTTCGGGAAGCCAATATTCCACTCTTTATCTTCAAACACCACAATAGCACTGGTGTGGTTTTCCTTCATACAACGATGCATGCGTAACATACCATGGGCACGGTAAATTTGTAAATCAACATGAGGGATTTTCTTATGAAATCGGTAGAGAAAACCGTGAAGGGAGTGATAATCTTCAAAGGCCACATCTTGTAATTTTGTATGAACATGAAAGGAAGCTTTTTTAAGGTTTGGTGATTGTAGAACAACTTGAGTGGCGATTTTCTCACCTATCGCTTCAATCTCTTCCTTCACAACTGTCAGAGTTTCATCGAGAAGTTTCTTTTGAAAAGGACGAATTTTAGACATACTCCAATGTTCCTGTGGAACTGGACAATCAATATCCAAAACGAGATCTAATGGTGTTTGTTCTCTACCAAAGATCGCATGTACAGTACGGATAGTATCTGGCATTGTTGCTACTGCATTACTTGCCACTGAAAGCGGTGTACCAGGCCATGCAAAGAATTGACATCCGCCTTGTGGTAAACGTCTGGCAAAGAGACCATCTGTTGGTTTACACGCTGCCGCAACATCTTCAATTCGGAAGGATTTAATAATAGGCGTTTTCTTCTGGGAGGTAATATCCTCCTTCTTTTCTTTTGCTGCCAAAGTAGATGGAGTGGTAGAAGTAGAAACTTTTCTAACAGATACGGTTTCTTCTTTCTTTTTATCACTCACTTTCTCTTCCTCCTCCTTAACACTCATTTTCTCTTCTTTCTTTTTATCACTCACTTTCTCTTCCTCCTCCTTGACACTCATTTTCTCTTCCTTCCTGTCATCACTCACTTTCACTTCCTCAACCTTCTCTTTCTTCAAAATGGGCGTTATTTCTGGTTCCTTGGGTTTTACCGCAGCCACAGGTTCTTCTTCTTCTTTCTGACTATCAATTTTCAAATCCCGTGACACCTTTTGTACCTTCTTCTTCTTCTTTTTCTTTCCATCCATTTGCCCTTTAGTAGTGTTCTTACCATCGGAAACAATCTTTTTCTTCAGTGGTACAGTAGATTTATGCGATGTCTTCTCAAGTGCCTCCTCCGCTGCTGCCCGGGCTACAGCTGCTGCAGCTGCTGAAGTAGAAGTAGAAGTAGCGGCGGGATTAGTTCCCACAGTGTCTGAAGTGGAGGCACTCGTCTTGGCCTTCGCCGCGCTGTTCATCGCCGCAAGTTCTGCGACCAGCCGCTTAGAGACCTGCCGTGTGAACAGAGATATTCGAAGCATCCTTTCTTTTAAATGCTCTGTGCCTCCCTTTCTATATGTATACCGTATTCAGTTTTCACCCCAAACACGTATGTATATAAAGAGAAAGAGAAGGAGTAAAGAATAGAAGAGGGAAAAGTGTGTAACTAAGAACAGAAAGAGAAGCTGAGAGAAACAATAATTTACAACGAACGTCAAAAAACAAGAAAATAAATAAATAAATAAATAAATAAATAGAGAACCGGAAATTGCGTTGCATAAACCCCCGAAATATGATCATCTTAATCATATACGCGTTTCAATAGAAGAAAAAAACAGATAGTGAAAAAGAAAAGATGAGAGAAATCAGAGTATTTGTAAAAACGGTTTTCTTCAATAAGATTCACTTCACCTCTGCCTTCAGTTCGATATATCTTGGCCTTATAATAATCATATATATAAAAGAAAAAAAAGAGGAAAGGAATGATATCAGATATTGTAAAAAAGAAAAAGAAAGAAAGAAAAGGAATGTGGTTCATTTTGAGGCCTTCATTCAAAAACTCTTTTTTACTTGGTATGCACCTTATCTCGAACGACATGCGTGAACGTGCCTCGCACTCAATCAAAGGCAACCAGAGAGCTATATATATATATATATATATATATAATATAATAAAACGAAAAAGAATACAACCATTCCATTAAGTAGTAACTTTGGTACCCTTTTTTATTTTATTTATTTCTTCTTGAACATGTATATACATACACGTTACAGAACCATCAATCATAAAAGTTGATGAATCACTCAAGGCACATAAAAAAAGCAAACACACCTTCTATTCTTCCCTTTTTTTTTCTTATTCCCTACACCCCTTTTTTTTTTTTAATAATAATAATAAAAAAAAAAAAGAAAACCCCTAAATGTTTGCAAGAACCATAGACACAGCGGTCTTGTCATCCCCTCCCATATTCAATGTGGCCCCAAGTGCTGGAATCTTCTTCAGTTGATAATCCCCACAGAGTCCCTTCATTTGACGATATACTTCCATCACCTGTTTCACACCAGTTGCACCCACTGGGTGTCCAAAGGCGAGAAGACCACCGCCGGTGTTCACTGGAATACGTCCCTCTAATGTGGTATCCCCGTTGCGAATCATATCCTTTGCCTTTCCGTAGTCTGCAATACCGAGAGCCTCGTACATGAGGAGTTCTGCAATAGTGAAACAATCATGCACCTCCGCCACGTTAAGTTCGGAGGGTTTCACACCAGCCAATGCGAGTGCCTGTTGAGCAGCGGCACGTGATGTCATCATACGTGTCGCATCCGCAGGATCTTCATAGAGACTGTTGGCGGAAGCTGCGAGTGATTTAATTTCTACCAATCGGTGATCGTTAACGGAGATACCCAACTTCTTTAGACCTTCCTCATTGGCGAGTACCGCTGCGGCTCCACCATCACTAACCTGTGAACAGTCCGTATTGCGGAGATAAGGTTTATATGTTTCATTACCGAGAAAATTTGGATTTCTATCCGATGCATTTGTACAGAATTCCAATGTTAACTTCCTTGTATGCATGTGGGCGAGAGGATTCTTGTTCCCATTAGCATACGCCTTGGCAGCCACCCGGGCGGTATCTTCCATAGTGAAATGTCCAGCCTCCTGAATAGCCTTCATACGTTTTGCAAACAAACATGGAAATGTAAAATCATCCAGACTGCGTTGACGTTTATAATCTGCCGCACGTGCCAAGTAATCCCCACCCACACGTGCGGAAACAGTTGTTTGCACTTCCACTCCAGTGACCAAAGCGACTTGCGAAGTGCCGGCCAAAAGTGCCTCCCATGCGACTTGCATCGCCAGACCGCCACTCGCACACGCCCCTTCCACTCGCATGGCCGGTTTGTTGAGAAACGCCTGTGCGTTTTTTCCCTTCAGACTTCCCACCGCCGCCGCTCCGAGGTGTCCCTGAGAGGAGAAGAGTTCACCGAGGAAGTTGCCCACCACCAGTTTATCCACCAGGGCCGCACGACCATCGGTGTGGAGTCCAGTCTTCTCAAGCGCCGTGTTAATGCTGTCGGAGAGAAACTCCTCCAGTGTTTTGTTTTCCTTCTTACCAAAATCTGGGTGTTTCTTATCGATAAAGAGTGGGGAGCCCTTACCAACGAAGGGTGTGATGTGACCACCAACGATAAAGACTCGCTTGGCGGCTAGACTGGTTGAGGTACAGCGAAACATAATGTTGTTTGTTTGTTTGTTTGTTTGTTGTTCTTATTTGTTTGTTTTGTTTTGTTTTGTTTCTTTATTTTATTTTTCGTTGTTTTGGATGTGTATACACCACAGTGAGATCATCACAACGAAAAAGAATACACATTGGAATACACATATGTACGTGTGTCCACGCATTCCAGGGGTACATATAGATAGATAGATAAAGAGAAAGAGAGAGAGAGAACAACAAGAGAATAAAAAAAAAAAAAAACTTCAGTAATGCGTAGGTAAGGGTTCAATAGAATTGAAAATTATATTCACATTATTCTTTCCTCTTCAGGTTTTATATTCTTTTCTTGAATAAAATTTACTATACTCTCTCAGATACACGTATACTTATAAACAACAACAACGACGGCAGCCAAAGAAATATATATATATATATAAACACGCACATACACAGCATTGACAGAGGGTGTTTTTTTTTCTCTTTTTTTTTGTCTCAGATCCTCCCAATACTTAAATAACACTAATAATAACAAATAATAAGAAAAAATAATAATAATTATTATTATTAATAACTCTACACACCCTCTAGCCACTACATGCCCTTTTGCCCACTATACCCAATTATCCCCACTATACTAATACATAATATATATATATATATATATATATATATATATATATAATGATTCTTCATCCATACAAGTTTCATTACGACATCTCTCATCACTCTGTGTTATTACCACTATTACTATTATTACTACTACACTCATTCATTACACCATTCCCTCCCATCCTCGTTTCCCTCCGGCCCAAGCAGCACCAACGTAGAAGTGTCGATAACGAATATATGTATCACTGGTTGGATAGTCCAATGTATTCGGTTTAAATGCCTTACGCAGCTCCAGTACCTTCTCTGGTGGGTAGTACTGCTCCAGGCAATCAAAGTGCGCCTCTATCTTATATTCGCAACTCCCGCCCTGTGCTAGGCAGAAGTCCCGCGCCCATCGTGTTTCCGGACACTTTAGTCGCGGGTTCTGATCAGAACAGGGCAGCGGTACATTGTGTTTGGGGTACTCCGTGAGAATCTTGGGGAATGTCTTCCACGTCTCTATGCCCATTTCCCCTTTCTCTGTCTGTATCTATCTACCTTAAACAGTATGTTTATATATATATATATA